ATGATGTACCCGTTTGACTATTAAATAAATAGTTGGCGCATAAGATGTTTCGTGTTTCAACATCAACGTGAATCAAACTTCAAGATCTGGCCTTTAGATGATTCTATAAAAAGAAGGTATAGTATTATGCATACTTTGTCACGGGGACGTATTGGGGTGCGGAGGCGTGGCTCTTACGAATTTGAGGCATCAGCTTAATAAATTGTTTCTATATTCATAAATTTACATAGTGACAAAAAGTGTCTGATTTTAATAAATTTGAAAATCGTCATTTGACAAGCTAACCTAACTTTTTTATGACATAAAATTTTTATTAAATATATGAACCACATACTTTGATTTTCTTTTACTATACGGAGAATGGTCGCATTGCGCAGCTTTCTGAGTGCCTTTTAAAAGGAGATAGAAAACTCCGCCATTTTGATCCCTTATTACGTGTTGCCTACATCTTGGCGCAATATTTTTAATAGGTGCGTTTTAATCATCCGCTTCTGTTTCGGAATTGTCGGTTTTCTTGTTTTAATCTGACAGGTTAAAACGACTAAACCGACAATTCCGGAAGCAGAAGCGGATGATTAAAACGCACCTGATATTTTGCTTGCTGCTGTCACTGTCAGTGAATATTATTTTTGGAGTCACAGTTTATTGCTAAAGAATCAGTTAGCTCACTCGGACCAGTTGAAAGTTCCAAAATAACATCCACTCCAGGGATACAAATTCAGGATACGCAGAAGACTGCAGTTTTATTATAGGCGGTTGTCATGTATTGTATTATCCGAGTTGCGCAGTGTATAAACTGGACCATTGAGATCAAAAGTGCCGACGCAGAGTGAGAGATCTGATTCTTTAGCTATAAACTGTGGCATAGGAATCAAAATGGCCGCGCCCTATGTTGGGCGTGTCGGACCTCTCCTTTGCAACTTATAGTAATCAAAGTATGTGATATAAACAAATATTTAAATGGTTTTTTATTTATTGACGCTTTTAATAATAATTATGCAATTATGCTTATGTATATAGGTAATTAAGAATTTTCAGATTAAAATGTTTGTAATTATTTTTTTTCAACAATATAAATAATGTAAGTCTTGTAAGTAGTGCCTTTTATTGCAATTAGAACATCCCTCCTTGTAGGTGGTTGTTTAGGAATGGTAACAAAACATGCATGTCATGTCAGAGATTTAGTTGCTGAATTGGAACTCATTGAATACAAATAAAAAGTAATTACCGTGATTAGTGTATCACTAGTTAACAAGTAAAGTAATATATTTTTCCTACGACCACTTAGGAAAGTGACACTTATCACAATATAGTCCTATGGAAAGTGCCCTATATCACACGCGTATGAATAATAATTTACTTTCCACCCATGTGCGAATATGCTACTTTCCGCATCAGCTGTCACAAAATGTCAAACGCATCATTTCTATTTTGATCTGTGTAATGTCCATATTAATACTAAAATCGATATGATTGTTAAATTATTGATATAGTTGTAAATTAGATCCTGGATATTTATCTTTAACAATTATTATTAAAATAACTAAGTTATGTTTGCTTTTTATTTTGGGAACCGATTCCACCGTTGTGTTAAACGGAGATTAAAATGACATGGTTAATGTAAAAATGTCATTTTAAACTTCGTTTAACGCAACGGTGGAATCGGTCCTAAAACATAACCGATTAGATTATTCAATAGACACAAGGCCTATTAGCTCAGATGGTAGAGTATCAAACTTTATCAACTTTGCCATTTGAGACCTGGCTAGCGGCCGCGTTCAAATCCTTGCGGGGGCAGAATTTTTTTTGTTCTTTTATTATTTTTTTGTTCTTTTATTATTTTTTTGTTTTTTAGTTTTTTTTTTGTTTAGAAAATATGAAAATTGAATGAATACGATTATTGTTGATAATTTTTTTAAATACTTTTAATTATTATAATAACCTGGTTTTACATTTTTTGATAAAATTATTTTGTGGTCGTAGGAAAAATATTGTACATCATTTGTGTGAAAAGTGATTTTCCACACTCTTGTGATAGTCGCACTCGGCTTGTGACTCGTGATTTTCCCACTCGTGTGAAAAATGTCACTTTCCACACTCGTAATGTAATATACTATTTCTGACAGCCGTCAGTTTTTGTTTATTAAGGGTATGGTCCGTTATTAACCGAAATATCGGTTACTCTGTCCAAAACTAACCGCTCTGCTTGACATTCCTAAAAAGTCGGTTAAATTAGGGACGCGGTTACCTGAAAATGGTGACTCAATTCACTAACCGCTATATTTTTACGGTTACTATTAAGTCGAATGTCAATCTGTCACCAAAGTGACATAAATCTCGGCCGTGGTCCAAAAGTAACCAAGAAATTAGTTGTTTTCAGGAACCGCTGTCAAAAAATCCTGGTTACTAGCGGTTAGTAGTCGGTTAATAACGGACCATACCCTAAGGATAATCGGTTACTCGGTCCAAAACTAACCGCTCTGCTTGACATTTCTAAAAAAGCGGTTAAATTAGGGACGCGGTTACCTGAAAATGGTGACTCAAACGTCATTCACTAACCGCTATATTTTTACGGTTACTACACAGGACTGAAATTAGGAGAATGGATTTGACAGTTTACAAAAACGTTCCTACAAAGGGAGGTTTTTTGAGTTTGCGCAGTAGGTACCAAACAAGGTCATAATTTGAAAAAATATGTTTTTTAGAAAAAAAAATAATGGCGGGTTGTACAATACGCGGTTAATCGTCCCAAAAATTGTTGTTAAATTAATAAAATTAACATTTATTTTCAAATCACTTTCACGAATGACAATTGACATGTCTGATAGATGCTCACTGCGCAAACTCAAACCTCAATTTTGAAACTCCTTAACGGAACGTAAATTTTGAGCAAGAATTGACATCAAATCCATTGTCCTAATTTCAGTTCTGTGGGTTAGTATTAAGTCGAATGTCAATCTGTCACAAAAGTGACGTAAATGGAAGTGCCAAGTGGTCCAAAAGTAACCAAGAAATTAGTTTATTTCAGAACCGCTGTCAAAAAATCCTGGTTACTTGCGGTTAGTAGTCGGATAATATCGGACCTTACCGTAAGTATCATTCGGTTTGGTCAGGGGCTGGAACGGGACAGGAGCGGAGTTTTTTTAGGGTGCTTTTAAATGACATATAAGCGTGTTGAACTGTCACTAATCGGACTAACCCAACTAACCGAAAGTTAAAAGGGCCGTTTGGAATTAAAGGAGTGAATTGAACTTGTCTGTCCGAACTTACCTCATGCACACCATTTAGTATCGACATCTGGCCGAATTTTTGGAATTATTTTCTTACGGCTATATTTTTAAGAGAGTTGGAACACCTGCAATAACAGTCATTCATCGTATTTACAACTCGTGGAACTTTGAGACATTTACTTTGTAAATTATTATTTGTTATACAATATGTTTTTATTGTGTAGGTAAATAAAACTCAATCAGAAATATAATTTAATTGCTAATAAAAATATAAAAAAGCAATGTTCTTCTCTTTAAAGTGTAGGTGAGATTGTGGAAACAAGTTTGTCCATCACAGATTGCATGTACAATATGGACATTTGTTGATACAGCCTATGAATGAAATTGGATGAACAGAGTATCTAGCTGGTAAACGGATTTCATTTTGTGAGATTTCTTAAAAAAAAAAATAGAAACTTACATGTATTATTTTCTTTTTTAATTTAATTTTAGCTTTTATTGTTGTTTTCTTATTAATTATTGTAATCTAATGCTGTTTGATATCTATATTACCTTTTGTAACGTTATCATGCATATTTTATTCTTTTTTTTTTTGTAAAGTGATATTAGTTAAATAGATAAAAACATATGCATGACGCATGACTACACCAACAGGTAGACCGCCAATAAGAGCTAGAAATAATTATTTATTTAGTATAATGCTAATACAATATTTTTTATGCATGCAAACATACAATAAATTAATTTAATCTGTAAGATATTGACATGATTTAATAAATATATGAGGAGGTCCATGAAAAATGTTTCTAAAGTAGGCATTGGAAAACTTTACGCATGTTCAGCTCTTCTTTTTAAGTGTCAGTTTACATTTAATTCAAAGCTGAGCGTAGTTATCATGGACATAACTCGTATCTGTGTCTTTTTTGTAGATCACTACATTTATTGAGTTATTTATTTCATCTTTTGACATAACGAGATTGTTTATTTTTGACGTGTGTCAAATTACTGGCCTAGATATTTCGGCATTGGTTCTGACTTTTAGACAACCTGTCAAAATGGCTGCCCGAGGGCTTTGACAAGGTCGCATTGCGAGCGGCCATATTGTCTCGCAAGTGTTCATTAATCAGAATCGGTTTAGCAAAATTTGTTTTAAAACCAAATGTCAGCCTTTGAATAAAGTAAAAATAATTACCTACATTTTTATTTCAAGGCATGAGCTTTAGTTTATTTTGAAATGATCAATCTATACAAATATATAATATCATTGACCATATCAGTCTCTCAGGCAACCATTTTGTTTGGAATATCTATATTGTTTACCGTATCGTCACAAACTAGAGGGCACATTATATTTTTTATACCTGTTTTCTTTTTGCCAGTTTTACCTTAATTGATGAATAAATTATTATTCCATTATTTTCGCACTTTTTGGAAACTTTCCATGATATTTATTGTCTCATTCTGTTATTGTGTTCCACCTTTTTTTTTTTCATTGATGACATCCACATTGCATATCATTTTAACATCATTAGCTTTTTCTTATATTTTCTTTTCCAAATTTAATATTTTCTTTAAAATTTCGTAAATATGTAACTTATTGGGTCAACTTCATCTAATACAGTGTAGACTGGCAACACGTTTTGCTTTTGAATTGTTCTTATCTAAGTAATAAATTAAGATTGATTAAAATTCGCACAGTCTGGAATTTTTGTAATTCTGAAGTGGTTTATAAATTTGAATCTTTTCAATGTTATTTTCTTTTTATTTCAGGTCCTCAAATCAATTACATAACGCCGAATGAGACACTGAAGAAGATTAATGACGATGACGAGAAGGAACTTACTTATTTGTATTCCTGATAGCCAAAGAAATGTCAGTGATAGTCAATTTTGTAGATTTTTTTAATGAAATTTTCGAATTTATAGTATGAAAGTAGCAGAATGTTTAAAAATACCTTTCAAAGCAACCTTAGGACGCCTTAAGGTAGATCTCAAGAGTATTAAATGTTGTGTGAGGTTTACTTTTATTAATTTTAATATGTGTTTGTTTGGTTAGTGGATAATTTTAATAATAATTATGGATCAATAGTTCTTTTATCCACGAAATTTTTTTTTTGTATACGATAGAAATTTTATTTATTTAATTGAACTTTTGGAAGAATCTAGTTAAAGTCAAAAAAGAAAATTTGACAATTTTCAGTGAAAAGATATTAATTTATGAACTTATTTTCTGAATCCATTGTCGACTCTATAAACTATTTTTCATATAATAATATATAGTGATTATTTTCTAATCTATTTTCAGCCCGTACAATATTTATCATCTATTGAAATTTATTTAATTATCTAGGTACTTACTTTTGATTAAATGTATTTTAACTATTATTATTACTTAAATGATTTATTTAAATCAAATAATTGGGTACTTACGCAACACAATGTTATAATGTAATAAAAAGTGATACTTCTAAGCATACAATTTAGTTTTAATCAATTATCTGTATGTTACCAAACAGAATCAGTATTCCTACGAAATAACATTAAAACTCTTATTTGTAGACTGTGATGAGATTGCATTATAAATGGCTTAAGTTATATCCTTGACTTTTAATTACAGTCTTGACTTAACTGATAATAACTATGTCGGTATCGTATTTATTAATTTATTGATGTTTTTGTTTAATCAAAAATTGCATAAGATACTTGAAGAGAAATTTCGATTTTTTTATTGTTTTATCTTTATTGATTTTAAGCATTTTAGTTTTATTTTTAAATCTGTTAAAATGGTAGTTGTTTAATTTTTATGAATATCTTTCAAATAAGTGGGGTTACCAGTCAAATCCATAATTGTACTTTTTATAAATAAAAATTTTGTTATGTTTTTGTAATAAAAGTATTTTTATTGTTTACCTATATTTTTTTTATTTGTAATAATTAAAGCTCGGATTTTGCCTATTCGATGTGTTTTCTGCACATTTTGCCTTTTTTCGTAAATTCCGGCTTTTTATTCCTTTTTTTAAATTTTTTTGCTATTACCCATGATATTCATATTACGATTACTACACCTATCTATAACAACATTTTGGGTCAATAATAGAATATCAATGGTTTGTTGATAATGGATTTCTAGGAAAATGTACCTGGTGGAGATTAAGGCTTAGGAATCCCTAATCTTTTTCCCTTTTATAATTTATAATAAACAATCACCAGTTGTACTCTACACTTCATAAACGGAATTTGGAAAAATTAAATTCTTCCAAGTTAGTCCAAACATCTCTGCGGGACAGTTTAAGCAGTTCAAAAAAAAAGGAGCAAGACACATTTAAATTTGATTTATGCCATATGATGATTGCATCCAACATTCCTCTGTATAAAGTTAATCATCCTAGTTTTAGGTTAATTTTTGAAAAACATTTTAATAAATCTTTACTGGAGGAGAGTACATTGAGAAAATAAAGTATGGACAAATACTATGTGGAATGTATTTCCAAAAATAAACGGGAGTTAGAGGAAAATTTCTTGTATATTATTGTGTATGAAACGACAAATGTATGCAGTAGATGTATAGCTAATTTGATGATTGGAATTTTGAACGACAAATTTCCAAGCAAACCTTATTTAGTTGCCATTAAAGAATTAGAAAAAACAAACAATTTAACTATAAGTAGATTTATACAAGAGAGTTTAACCAACCTCTTCTTACCCAATGCTATACCAGTGAATAAAATAGTTTTAATGCTTTCAGATGCTGAGGCATATATGTTAAAAACTGCTATTAATTTAAAGATTTTTTTATCCCAAATTAATTCATTGCACTTGTGTCGCCCACGGGGTAAATCGAATTGCAGAAGAAATAAGAAATCTGTTTCCGTTGGTGAATGATTTTATAAATTATATGAAAAAAGTTTTCCTAAAGGCTTCGTTGAGGGTGCAGATATATAAAGAAAAAATTCCCGGTGTCCCTTTGCCACCTAAACCAGTAATTACAAGGTGGGGAACGTGGCTCGAAACAGTTTTCTTTTACTTTGAACACTGCGATGAAATACAATTAGTAATGTCAGAATTTAATGATAACATTTCCGAAGCCATTCGAGAAGCAAAAAAAATATTAAAAAATCCGAAATTAAAACAGCAACTAGCTTATATGAATGGCAATTATAAATTAATAGTTAGCACAATTACCTTATTAGAACGACAAGAGGTAAATTTATGTGAGTCAGTAAAATTAGTAGATAATTAGAAGTCAAAAATTAAGTCAGCACCTGGAGGTAATGGTCAATTAATTTTAAAAAAAATGAAAGATGTTTTTGACAAGAATGAAGGTTTCTCGTTTTTGTCTAATGTAATGACATTTTGAATGGGACATATTCCGAAGAATTACAAATTCAGCCAGATTTATTATTCGCTCTTAAATATGCTCCAATTACATCTGTCGAAGTAGAGCGTTCATTTTCAATGTACAAATTCATTTTAAGTGATAGAAGACAAAGTTTTAAGACTGAAAATTTAGAAAAGCACTTAGTTGTAGATATTAATGATAAAATTTTAATTGGTTACAATGTTTAATTATTATTTAACAATTATTTAGTTATTATGTTGTGTAAATATATTTTTTGTGTTAAGTTAATATTAAGTTAATTCACTTTGTATATTAAAAAATAAGTTATTATTAATAATTATGGATTTAAAGGCATTTGCCTATATGCTGCCTATTTGTTTAGATTTCTGCCTTTTTCAATAATTTTTTTTGCCTATATTGGCGCCTTTTTCTTCATTTTCTTTTGCCTATAAATCCGAGCTTTAGTAATAATGTTACTTTAAAAATGTAGATAACCGACAAGGGTCCGGAAATTATATTTAATTTGAAGGTAGAAATAACATTTGAAAAAACTCTGGACCACCAAATTATTGCTTTTGAGGACGATCATTTTCTGTGCTTATTCGTCGTTTTTCACTTGAGCAGAGCTTTTCTAACTCTAAGTATGACCTAAGATTTTTTACGTGTTTTTTAATTTAAAATGTAATCATTCATGCACAACAAGGCAACAGATGTATATTATCAATCGTTTAATGTATATTATTGCAAATAAGCACACATCCATAATAGAAGGTAAAATAATCACTTAAATCATCCCTAGCTTCAATATAAAATAATTTGGATTAACAGAGCAATGTGGAAAACCGAAATGTGTGGTATCCAAGGTATGACAATCTACCAATATTTCATCTTTCACTTCCATATTTTATACTATATGTATCATATCTATAATTTTTATCTTTAAAATAAAACCAAAAAATCTGAAGTGTCCAACACCTGACTATCTTGTTCTTAGAGCATATAAGACTAGAGATATCATTCAATGTATTTTGTTATGTAGGTGAAGGGTAGGTGAAGGGTAGGTACGCCATTCTCAATGGCGTACGGTTTGAAAGGGTTCGTATTTATATTTACCATTTATGCACTGTAATTTCACAATAACTAATAATTTAGATAATTAATTCGCATGATTAATAAACAAATTTATTAAACAATGTTCTTTTTCTATTTATGTTAAGCTTTCGTTATACATTGTATTGTATACATGTTTTACTGGAAATTACTATATGTTCGTTTAGGATTGAAAACTTTATTGTAGATATAGGTTTTGAAACTGTATGCTTTCAAATGAATTCGTGATCACACATTATTTTTGTTTAGTTCAAGTAGATCATTTAGAAACGGAAATATTTTTTATATAGAGTAAATAAAAGAAAAACGAAAACATATAACATTAATTTATTTCTAGTAGTAATAATATTAAATGTACATGTTTTATAATAAAATTATTAATCAATGTAATAAAAACAAGAGATAAAATATAGTAGGTACCTTACTATTCGTAATAATAGACATATTTATTAACTTTACGAGCAAAACACAATAGCTTATTTTGCTTCAACTGACTGATTTTGTTGTAACTTGCTGCCAATATCAACATATCCAATATATTTTTGGCCAGTCCATTTCACCCTTTGCATAATTGCCATTTCATCCATAAAAAGATTTAAAAAACCTGTTTTATAACCTTTTTGACTTTCTCGCCTTTAAATTTCAATGCTCTTGGGGAATCCAGGAGAACCATCAACAGCCTAATGTCACTTTGATAAAGTTCTGGGATGTGGGAGACAATTGTTAAAGCATCTCCTCACATATGTATAAGCCTTCATACTGTAGAAGTTTAAAGTTAGTGCAAAAGCTTTTAATTCAGGGGAGTATTTTGTTCTGGAATGATCTTTAATTGCTCTCTTGACCAATTCCTTAGATTCACTTGCAAGAGAAGCCTAAAAAATAAACTAATTTGACCCAAAATAACATATATAAATAAAATGTTTCCTCATCATTAAAAACATTTATGAATATTACTGGAATTAATTCTTACATCCACATGTATATCTGTACTTTTTATAAAAGAGTTATTTTTTATGTATCCTATTTAAAGATTTCAATCTACTTTGTAAAAAATATTTCCTCTAAGTTTTTAATTTTTTTTTTGGCATAGAATCTTCTTTTGGGCAAGAGCTAATTTTCTATAAAAAAATAACTGTTTAATTTTTTTCTTAAGCATTGCTTTCCTAAAATCATAATAACGCTTGATTATATGAGAAAATATCTTATTTGACTTCAACAAACCTTCGTTTTTCTTTTTTAAGTTCTCTTTCTCTTTTAGAAGAGAGCTTACTGATATTGTGGTTTTAGGTGATGAGTTTATCAAATTTTAAACAATTTTTAGAGAGAGTTAAAGAGAGTTAAAAATTGAAGTTCCCTGTCTTGCATATTTTCGTCCCTACAAATGAAATGTACCTCCTTTTGAAAGCGAAGGGTGCATACGTACACGAGGAAATATAAACATAGGCGGTACAAATGTTCCTGTTGCACTCATTGCACAGCAAAGAGTTACATTTTTTCCTCTCTCCCAGCTAGTTGCAGCCCCAACTTGTTTTTGACCCTTAGGTCCAACAATACGTCCTGGCTTATGTACAGTTGTGATACCAGTCTCATCAACATTAAAAATTTGTGTAGGATCGAATTGGTGTGTATCCAATAATGTTGCGATATTGGAATAAAATCTCTTCACTTCCGGTTTACTAAACGCCAGTATTCTGTTAATACTTGTGGCTTCTGGTTTTCTTAAGCTGAGCTCATTATTTCTTCTAAGAAATCCAGCTAGCCAATCCCCAGACAACACACCAAATCCCAGAGATATCCACAGAATATCTTTTGTGAATATCCAATATATCTACAGGATATCAGAAATATTCCGTGGATCTAATATGGATATCCAAATGTCCGTCTATATCCAGGATATAGAAGATATCCTAATGGATATTCAGCAAAATATCTAATGGGTATCTTCCAGAAAATACAAGAAATCCCAGAGATATCCACAGAATATATTTTGTGGATATTCAATATATCCAATATGGATATCCAACCAAATGTCCGTCTATATCCCAGGATATAGAAGATATTCGGATATTCAACATGGGGTATCTTTAGTAGAGGTTCATAAGTAATCAATGATTATTCAATAACGTCAAAAGAAAATAGCAGAGATAAAAAATATTTTCAACACTCAAAATATTTTCAACACTCTGATTTTGCCCACTAAGGAGAAAGTCATCCTTATTAGGACTCTTCAGCAATAAATGGAAATTCTCGACTCCAGTCTCTAATGGAGTCTGTAGGACAAAAATTTCGATCGAACTCTATTACGGCGGGTCGAGCATGAGTAGATGCGATAGTGGTATCGCCATCTATACTTAGTAAGCAGAATCAAATAACATCTAGTGGATAT